AATGCAGTAAACGAGTTGCGGGAAAAAAAGATGTATGGTGGAGCTGTGCTGAATTACTGCTTTTGTTACTGATCTTATTTCCCGTTACAGTCTTCTTTCGCTGCTACTTGCTTTATTCATCACCTCAGACCCTATGAGATGTAAAATTTGAGCGCATTTAGGTACATAACAAATACAACAACGGTGGATGCAGATATCACGGAAAAAGATGCCACGTCGTTATCAAAGTCGTCAACCATGACAGTGAAATTCTCGCCACCAACATCAACACCTACTGCAAGTCTAGAAAGTCGCACCGTTACGAAAGCAGCGCTACTAATGTTACCTTCGTCGTTTCCACCATCATTATCATCGACATCACTAACAACACCGCTATCATCATCATTGTCATCATCAATCCTACACCCGGGTTCAACGTTAACAACGACAATGACAAATACAGCGAAAACGACGGAATTGATGGAAGAAATCAGCGAGGAAAATGTAGGCACAGAGACACGGCCAGTACCCCAAAACTCGCTCTCACCATCAACAGTCACTGCAGGTACTATGAAGAGCGAAGAAAACACTTCTACTGCAACAGCAGTACAGTCCTTCACTAATGACACAAACGAAGATACAACCAGGTAACTTATATGCTTTTGAACAGCATATGAAGCGTCTGATCTAACTTTATGAACTTCTAATGACTTCTGCAACAAACGACTAGCTGCACACTGTGCAGATATGGTTTTTACGCTATCTGTAAGGGAACTGTAACATCAGCTGCGGAAGATCGCAAGATTTTTTTTTTTTTTTTTACATCATGAACCAGTTATTCGACGTTCAGAGGGTCGAACCCAGTATGGCTGAAGGGAGATCCACTTTTTATAGTAAGAGACATAAAAAGAAAAAATTAAAGAGTTTACACTAAACTGGATAACGAAATCAAAAATCATTCAAAATGGCGGAAATTTGGCCAGAGATAGGTGCACAAAATTTAACCAAAAAGTTGCTGAAATTAATTGAAAGATATTAGAGCGCGCGAAAAAAGTTGACTCACAAAAACGTTCTGAACGACTGTTTTTAAGTAAATGAAGGAAAAATAAGGAACTACACCGGCCTGTTGAAAAGGTACATACTTTAAGGCACTTGAGAAGGGTAGAAGCGAACGGGGTGAGGGGGAGGGTGGGGACGAGAGGCGAGGAGGTCCCGACATGTTCCACTTATCAGAAATTGAGTACTCTACTGAATTAGAGCGCTAGATGGAGTACAAATGTAGCAAGTGGAGGGTGGTGGCTTGGGACGGATGTGCTTCCGTGCAGGTGCGGCGACCTACCCAAACCAACAGTGCTCTGCCAAAAAAAAAAATAATTGGCCAACGCACGGGCTGCCCGTGCGAAGATGCGTTTTTTGCATAGCTCCCCGCAGATTTTTGTCGCTAACGGCACTGGTTTTTCTGGCAGATGCTTCTAGCTAAAAGAATTTCAGACTAGCTGCCAGAATTGTTAGGAAACATCCCTTTAAAATCCTAGTCTTCTAGCTTCTCAATTTCCCGAGTTAGCAACATAGCCGGAAGAAACTTTCAAGGGCCCGTACGTAGGTACCACGCTTACCCACGGGCAGGGTTTGAACTCGTTCATACCTACTTGGACGAGGAACAATGCCCTAAGATTTCAACGTTCTAGCTTCTCAGATCCCCGAGTTATGAACTTACCGAAAAAAATTTTGGCGGGCCCGTACGCGGGTATCACGCTTACCCGGGAGATGGGTTTCAGTGCATTAACATCTACTTGGACGGGGAACATCCCTTAACGTCTCAGCGTTCTAGCTTCTCAGATCTCCGAGTTATGAACATGCCCCAAAAAAATTTTGGCGGGCCTGTACGCGGGTACCACGATTATCCGGGGGATGAGTTTCAGTGCATTAACACCTACTTGGACGGGGAACATTCTCCTAAGATTGTAGCTTCTCAGATCCCCGAGTTACGAACTTACCCAAAAAAAAACATTGGCGGGCCCGTACGCGAGTACCACGCAAGCGTTGACGCCCACTTTGGGGAATGGATCCGGCACGTGCATAGAGATTAAGTTCCCTAAATTTCAGTCATGCAGCTTTTATAGGTCTTGAGATGAAAGTGCGTGGCAGAC